AATGAGAGTAAGAAAAGAAAAACTATAGATAGTTCAGTACTCAGAAAGCAAACAAAGTATTTTCTATGACAAGCAGCTTAGCCAAGCTGGATTGGCCTTTTGTGGTGGTTCTCTCTCATTCCTGCTGCTCTATATGGGAGTTCTGTTTTGGTTCTAGCATCCTTAACTGAGGATGGCAGACTCCTCTAGGGAATTTCTCTATAAAGCTTTTTGAGATGTCTGTGAACTTGAGATTTCCCTTAAGTCTCTAATTAGTGAATAATACTATTGTAAAAGATTTTTTTTAAAAAAGCTATTGGTGTGGCATTTTGTTTGGAGCTTGAAATCTGTAAACTAGCAACAGAATTGAGAGAATAAAAGAATATACTTTATTTAGGATTTAATAAAAATTTCCACAGTGTGAGCCAATGAAGCACTGGTTTTCTCAAAGGTGATGATGCTTTTACATCCTTGCTAAGTTGTAACCTCTGCCACCATGTCTCTTGAAAAGAAAAGTCACTGGAACTACTGGGAAATTTAAGGAACAAGCTCTAGTGAGCTAACTAAAAACCTGGTGGTTTGAACATTCTCATTTGCTCCAGCTCTTTGGTGACTCATTCTATCATATGACATTGCTATGAATCAAGCGTCAACTCAATATCACAGAATAACAATCACCAGTAAATTAAATTGTTGTTAAGCACCTATATGATTTTGCCACATTAAAAAATTAAGTAACTTCCTTGATCTGTGAAATCTGATTAGTAATATTTTGTTTCTCCAGGAAATAGCTCAAATGTTTGTGAGAGTTGGAATGTGTGAACAAGCTGTGGCAGCATTTTTGAAATATAATCAGCCAAAGGCAGCAGTGGATACCTGTGTACATCTCAACCAAGTAAGGGATTGAAACGTACAATTTCTACAGCTTGTTCTATTAAGGATTTTTAAGTCAAAGCAAAAGTCACTATAGTCATCCTTGAGAGAGTGTTGGTAAAGGGAACTACTCGGAAACAGAATTCTTAAGTGTACTGAGTTGAAGGCTGATAAAATGCTAGAATTTGCACTTGAAGTGTGACCATTCGTGGTCACAGTTATGACTATACATAACTAATTCAGTATGGAAATATGAACAAACCCCGTGCTTTCAATTTAGCAAGTTTTTGTCTGGAAGTAATTTCTGCATATTATTAGGGTTGGATTTTGTTTCCATAGAAGGACCAGTTAAGAGTAATTTCTGGAGGAATGAATTGAGTTACTTTGTCAATATTTATTTTGACATGTCTGTTCTCCTTTGGTTTATAGAAAATATATTTCATTTTCTAAGAACTAAAAGATAACTAAAAGGGTAGAATTATATTAGAAATCATTGACTACCAATCACAAAATAGTAATATATTCTTTTAAGTATTTTCCTTAAAATATTTTATAAAGTTCCTTTGACTTTATACAAATAACCTTTTTAATATAATTTTTTTATTTTATACTGGTTTGCATAAAAAATTCATACACATTGTATTTCATCATAAACAAATATTTTACACATTTCTTCATTGATAATGTAGTTCATACAATCATTCCCATACATTGTGACATTGTGTTTTATAAAATGTATCACCATTGATCTACGCCCACTATCACTCCATCTTCTCAGGTACCTACTGGATCTTCTTTAATTCCTTCACCCCCTTTGCCTGCCAACCAAATCCTGTGTCTTCCCCAGTCATTTATACCATAGACTAGGCCTTCTAAGTTTGGTTCCATGTTGTCTCTTATAATCTTTATAGTTTGGGGGATGCCCCTAGGTCTCTGATTCACCTTGAGTTGATTTTTGTGTATGATGTGAGATGTGGATCCTGCTTCAGCTTTCTGCAGGTAGAAGTCCAGTTTACCAGCACCATTTGTTGAAGATATTGTTTCCCCATTTGATAGGATTTGTTTCCTTGTCAATTACCACGTTTTTATAGGGCTAATTTCTAATTTTTTTATAGGGCTTACTTCTGTTCCATCAATGTCCCTGTCATTGTACCAGTACCATACTGTTTTTGTTACTACCCATGTCAAGTAGGTTTTGAGGTCAGGAAGTGCTATGCTTCCAACTTTATTTTTGTTTTTCAGAAGTGCTTTGCTTATTTGAGGTCTCTTTCCAAATAAATTTGCGAATTGTGTTTTCTATCTTTTTGAAAAATGGGTTGGTATCTGTATTGGGATTGTGTTAAACAAATAACGTTAGGTGTCAAATATGATAGGGGATTTTTGTAACTCAAATTGTTGTTGTTGTTATGTGCTGTCGAATAGCCTGCGATCCATAGCGACCCTATGTACAGCAACTCCAAACCCTGCTCTGTCCTAGCCAGTCTCACTGATTCCAATACACCAACCCACATTGTCCCAGTTACTGTATCAATACATTTTATCGTAACTCAGATGTTGTTGTTAAGTGCCCTCGAGTTGCAGGCGACTCATAGCAACCCTATGAAGGAGAGTCCTCGACGCTTGGGTGCCTTTCATCCTCTCTCCAGGTTCATAGGGTTTCCGGAGGCAAGCCATTATGGAAGTGGACGCCACTCCTCCTTCCACACTTGTTTAATCGGGGAGCTCCACGCCACTCTGTCCGCACTGGGTAGCCAACCATTAACGCATTTGACACATCCGTGTCACAGTGTTCAGCCTCACAGCAACCACAAGTGACCGCGGGACAGCAACTTGTACACCAGGACTATACGACCTAGAGGAATGTCTTTGTCTTGGTCACAGATAGCATGTTTTATTTCATTGTAAACAAATATAGGAGTCTCCCTCCACTCTGGAAGTCAGCGTGCTAAGCTGGTGAGATGGCCTGCGTCTCCATGGCAGCTCCTCTTGGGGGCAGTTAGGCAAGGGAAGTTTCTGGGGTCTTTTGCGTTGTGTGTTACTGTCCTTTTTGGTCTTAAAAGGTGGATGGACGGCCCTGACCCTTAGAGTAAGTGTAAGTAAGGGTGGCATCGAGCCTGTGGAGCTTGCTCCAGGCCTTAGCTCAAAATCCTTCGTGAGGCTTGGGGACTGGAGTCTCTCTCTCCACTCTGGAAGTCAGCCGGCTAAGCAGGTGGGATGGCTGGCATCTCCATGGAGGCTGTACAGAGGTAACTCATGGTTGCTGTGAAGCAGAACACTGTGACACTGACGAGTCAAATGCGAGAATGATTGCCCATGGTGGTAAAGCTCCCCGATTAAAATAAGCTTGGAAGCAGGAGTGGCATCCACTTCCATAATAGCTTGCCCCTGGAAACCCTATGAACCTGGAGAGAGGATGAAAGTTATATAGGAGGTATCCAGGACTTTTGATCATAGGGTCGCTATGAGTCGCCTGTGACTGACAGCACTTAACAACAACAACAACAAACAAATGTATCTTTCTTATTGCTATGTTGTTGTTGTTATGTGCCTGGAGAGTTGCTTGCAACTCATAGTGACCCTATGAACAACAGCCCTAAACCCTGCTCTATCCTGTGCCAGTTGCACCGCCTCTGACACACCCATCCCATTTACCCCAGTCACTGAATCAATCCACCTCACAGAGGGTCTTCCCCTCTTGCACCATCCCTCCACCCTCCTAAGCATGATGTCCCTCTCCAAGGACTTATCCCTCCTTACAACGTGTCCAAAGTATGTCAGACGAAGCCCCCAATCCTTGCCTCCAAGGACTAACCTGGTTTAACCCTCTCCAGGATGAATTTGTTTGTTTTCTTGGCAGTCCAAGGTACACTCAGTACTCTTCTCCAGCACCACAGCTCAAAGGCATCAATTCTCCTTCTGTCCTCCCTAGTCATTGTCCAACTCTCTGATGCATAACAAGTGATTGCAAGGACCATAGCCTGTATCAGCTGCACCTTAGTCTCCAGAGTGACACCATTGCTCTTCAGTACCCTGGAGAGTTCCCTAACAGGAGACTTTCCGGTCACAATACGTTTTTTTATTTCCTGGCTATTGGGGCCAAGAGTGTTGACTGTGGAGCCAAGAAGACTAATGTTAACAATCTCAATCTCTTCACCATCCATCCTGTTGCTGCCGATTGGTCCAGTGGTGAGAATCTTTGTCTTCTTGACATTGAGCCTCAATC